TTGGGCTTCAGACCAGTTCATATTCCCTTTTGATGTTGCAGATGTGGGTTTGATGACAGTGTTGTCCTCTTCAGAATTTCTGTCTTGATCTTCACTCTTCTCATAATAGGAATCTGTAGTATGTTTCTTTTTACTCATGGTGTTTCTTTATTCCCTGGACTCTAAAGAGATTAAGCTCTCCTGCTGGGGAGCAGAGGGCACTGACCCAAGCTTCTTGTGTTGGGAGCCTAGGTCTTTGTCACTGGCTTTGTGTGCTGGGGCCTCTTTATGTTAGCAATTGGAGGCTGTAAGGTTCCGGCAGCTTATCTGGTGTTGGGCTGGCATCCGCAAGTCTGGGACTTTCAGGTAAATCTAGGTTGCCTGCTTTTCCTTTCCTTTAGCTTTGTTTAGCTCCTTTTAGATAAGTGCTGCCAGGTGTTTATCTGCCTGGGGCCCCTTGCAGTGCTCTCTCCCTTATTTCTGTTGAGTTACTGGGAGACTTCTTTGCTGTAGAATGCCAAGGCACCTGGTGTTTTTCTGAGCTGGTTTCCACCAGTTACCCCAACCTCACTGAGGCACTCGGAGGTACAGCTGTTGGCGTTTGCCTGCTCGACCACCTGGGCTTCGGGATCTCCTCTTGGTTGGCAGTTGGAGGCTGTGGGGTTCTGACAGCTTACCTGATGTTGGGCTGGAATCAACAAGGCTGGAACTTTTTGGCACCTCTAGGTTGCTTTCTTCAGCTCTTTTCAGATGAATGCTGCTGGGTGCTTATCCACGTGGGGCCCTTTGTAGTTCTGCTTCCCTTATTTTTGCTGAGGCATTGGGAGACCCGTTTGCTGTGGAATGCTGAGACACCAGAATCTCCTCCTGATGTGCTAAAGTGAGTCTTTCCACTAGCTGGCTGGGTGACTCCTGTTTCGTACTGCTACCCTTCTCCCAGGGTAAGAGGGGCCTTTCCCATTAATCCCTCTAGCTACCTGGGCTACTGTATTGCTGCACCCCGCGTTTCTTCTGGTTCAGCTGTTCCGGGGTTTTTTCTGGGGTAATATTTTCTGGGTTTTCAGAGGTTGATAGGGGAGGGTGAGAGTGACTACCTTTTTACTTCGCCATCTTGGCTCCCGAAGTGGAAAGTTCCCTACCTCCTCAATGAAAGGAGCGAGGTACATTTAAAAAAAAAAGTTTTATTGGTGTCTTTTTCTTTTTCTTTTTTTTTTCTTTAGGCAGTTGGGGTTAAGTGACTTGCCCATGGTCATACAGCTAGTAAGTGTCAAGTGTTTGGTCTAAGGCCAGATTTGAACTCAGGTCCTCCTGACTTCAGGGCCGGTGCTCTATCCATTGCGCCACCTAGCTGCCCTTGGTGTCTTTTCTTTATATCTCCCAGATTTTACCCTTATATTTTTTCCCCTCCCAGATGGCCACTTATAATAAAGAATTAAATAGAATAAAAATAAAAATTCAGCAAAACCAGATAAAATATTGTGGAAAAATAATTTTACGTACAGTGTTCTATACCCATAGGCCTCCTACCTCTGAAAAGTAACTGGGGGAGGCGTCTTTTCCCATCTCTTTGGGGCCAAGCTTGTTCTTTATACTTTTGTATATTTTGTATTTAGTTTCGGTTGTTTTATGGTTCTTTCCATTTACTTTGTTGCAGTCATTGTGTGTGTTGTTTTCCTGTCTCTGCTTGCTTCACATTGCATCTGTTCATGTTGAAGTCTTTCTCTAGTTCTCTGTATTCATTATATTTTCATGAGTTACAGCACAGTAAGATTCTGTTACATTCTTGTACCACCGTTTGTTCAGTCAATCCCCACTTGATGGGCCTCGACTTTGTTTCCAGCTCTTTGCTATTACAAAGCGTTGCTGAAATATTTTGGTGTACCTCAAGCCTTTTTGTCAGTAACCTCCTTGGGGTATGTGCCAGCAGTGGAATCTCTGGTCAAGGGATATGGATGATTTGGTCACTTTCTTTGCATAATTACCAGTAGCCTTCCTGGAAGGTTGTACTAATTGACTGCTCCATCTCCTGTTTAGCTGTGACTGTTTCCATCTTTTGTTCCCTTTGTCTATTTGCTGGGCAGGGAGAGAAATCCTGAAAACTTGATTTGCATTTTTCTTATTGCTAGTGATTCTGAGTATTCTTTCATATATTTCTTAATAGTTAGCTGGTCAAGCAGCATTTATAAAGCACCCGTCTTGTTTCAGGCTTTGCTCTAAGTGCTGGGCTGGGATGCAAAGAAAGCCAAGCGATGATGTCTGCCTTTAAAGAGTTCTGATGGAGGAGACCACAAAAACTCTGTACAAACAAGCCATACACAGGATAAGTAGAAGATAATCAACAGAGGGAAGGGACAAGCATTCATGGGGACCAGGAAAAGCTTCTTACAGAAGGAGGGATTTTCGTTGGGACTTGAGAGAAGCCAGGAGTTGGGGATAAAGATGGAGAGGTCCCAGGCAGGAAAATGCATTTATAATTCTCTTTGAGAACTGTTTATATTCTTGGATCACTTCTGTATTGGAGACTGGCTTTTGGTCGTATATATTATTTCTGTCAGTTGTCTATATATCTTGGCCATCAAGCTCTTATGAGAGATATTTGATACAAATATTTTTTTTTCCCAATTTGACTGCTTCTTTCCTTATCATAGATGCATAAATTTTGTTTCACAATCAAAATTATGTTTTATCTTTTATAATGGCTTCTCTCTGTTGTTTGGCTAAGAATATATCTCTTACCCATTGCTGTGAAAACTATAATCTGCTTAATCTTTAATATTTAGTTCATGTATTCCTTTTGAATTCATTGTGTGATATGGTATAAGGTTTTGGTCTAAGGCTAGGTTGTGGATTGTAGTGTATGTGCTTTGGTCAGGCTGCTTTTTCTGCCCCTCAGGGTCCAGGGGGTGGGGTGGGGGAGGTAACTGGGGTGGAGTGTATTTTCTCTGTTGGCCTGAGCCCCCACTCTGCTCCTTCCATTATCAGGTACCGGGCCCTAGCACTTCAGTTGCATTTGATCACTTAATATCAGTTGGCTTTTGTAGTGGGATAGTTACTTCAGCACCAACATTCCCCAGCGTTTCCCAGAGCATACTCTCCCCTCCCCCACCTCGGCCTCTGGGGCTGTGCCCTTGTAACTTAGCTCTCAGTTCCTTCTTGGCATTGGTTCTACCAAATTTGTGTCCAGTTGCAGTAAGACGGTCAGATGAGCCCTCAGTCTCAGGTGTCGCTCTTCAAGGTCAATTCTTGCTCCTCAGGCATCCGCGCCCCACTGGATACAAAGCCCGGCATGGACACCATCTCCCACTTTCCAGGGTCTGGCCCTTCAGATCCTCACAAGGTTAGAGACTCCCCTTCTTCCACCTCAAATTAAAAGGCTGAAACCTGTTTCCTGGGGTCCCACAGCCTCAAAGCAGGGCAAGGCCTTAGCTACTTGCTCCCTTACCGTCAGGAGCACAGGAGACCTGGTTGGGCTGAGAGGTTCTTTTGAATGCCTCTGAGGCCAGAGATCTTCCCTTTCCTCCCAGGATCAGCCCACTTTACAGAATGTCTGCAGGTGCTCCAGGCTTTCTAGGCTGCTTCCCTTTTTATGGCATCGAGATATTCTGGAAGTGTATCTCCCCTGCACCAGTGTTTGGAGGACTTGTCTCAGCCAGGCACCCCGATAGGGTATGCACATGTCCAGACCTCCACTGCACTAGGTTTCTAAGAATCAGACACGAGTTACTGAGTTCCAGTTCTGATTTCTTCCTTGTCTCAGTCTTTTTCTGTTTTTTGTTTAAACCAGTGCCAAGTGGTTTTGCTGCTTTCTAGTACGGATGGGCTTTGTTTCCCTTCATTCCTGCCTTCTTTTCATTGTTGATGTTCGAGCTCTCTTGTCTCTCAAAATAAATATTTTATTATTTCATCTAGTTCTGTAAAGGGTTTCTTTGGTGGTTTGACTGGCAGAACATTACAGGGAGGTCTGTTCACATATTTCCTATGGCCCTGGATCTCAGATTTGGACCAGAAACACGTTTGCACATTTCATTTTCAAGTCTTACATTTTGCTGGGCCACAAAGAGATTATGACAACTTTGTCCAGTGTTGGGCTTTTTCTTAGTGCTCTGGGCCCTGGGCAGAGGAAGAAGTTTTATTATTTGGTCTTACTTGGCAACCCTGGTTTCATAGCTGTGTGGAAGGTGCCTAACCAGGAGCAGGAGCACTTTTAAAACAAATGGACAGGACAGCATCCTCACCAAACAAGAGCTGTTGGAGTTGGGAGAAGATGGTGGCCTTGCAGTGAGGGGCTGGGGTGCAATCCCCGGCCTGATGATACCTGTTAGCTCTGGCTCCTTTGGCATGCCATATAGCTTCTTAGCCTCGGTTTCCCCTTCTTTAATTTGGAAGCATCAGAACTTGCACTAATTGCTCCCCAGGGTTGTCAGGGCTGCTCCCTGGGAGCAGGGAGCTCCTACTCTAATGGGGAGATGATATCCCAATAGCCAGGTGTGAAGCAGTTAGCATCAGGATAGCTGGAAGAAGATCTCAGAGGGAAGAGACCGGCCCAGGGACTGTCAGGGCTGTTCATATTAATGACCAAAACTATCAACGGAGAGGATTTGCTGGCCACACCCTGGGCCCCAGTCTTTGTTGTTAAGGACAAGCGTCCATTTTCCTTCCTTGGATCTCTCTGAGTCCTGGTCCTGGTCCTGGTCCAACCAGCACAGCATGTGCCCCACCCAGGTTACTTGTCTGGTTCAGTTCGATTCAGCAAGTGTTGCTTAACCACCTACTGTGTGCCAGGTTCTGTGCTAGACTTTAGTGATACAGTGACAACAATAAACCCAACTTGCAGCCTCAGGGAGCGTCCCTCGGTATTGGGATTGGGACGTGGGCCTGTCGTACTCTTGTTCTTCTCAGCAGAGTATGGAGATGAGATCCTTGTACTGGTGTTTCTCCAACAGGATGTGATAGCCGGAGGACCCAGCCCCTTGATCTTCCGGAAGCTCAGCAATCCTGACCTGTTCTCCTCAAGTGGAAAAGCCAAACTTCATCGGCAGTTGAGTCAGGACGATGGCAAACTACGAGGCCGGGGGAGCCTGGCCACAGCCTTGTCTTTGTCAGGTGAGTCTCGAGGCTGGCGCTAGAGTCCCCTGGTTCATTTCCTTGAAGTCTCTGTGTCATCTTGAAATCAATCCACCGGTCACCAGGTCTTTATTAAGCACCTACTATGTGCCAGGCCTGTGCCAGTAAACGTTGTCAAAACAAAGAAAAAGCTCTGTGCTCCCAGGGAGCTCCTACTCTAATGGGAGACAGCATCCCAGTAGCCAGGTGTGAACCAGTTAGCTCCGTGATAGCTGGAAGATGTCAGAGGGAAGAGACGAGCGGGGGGCTGGCAGAGGGCTCCTGTAGAGAGAAACCTGGTGGGGAGAGCATTGTGGGCCCGCATTACATAGTGATGGTGCTGGCATTTCTAGAATATGTCAAGCTTTGCACAGTGCTTTTTTTTTTTTTTTTTTTTTGGCTAGGCAATGGGGTTAAGTGACTTGCCCAGGGTCACACAGCTAGTAAGTGTTATGTGTTTGAGGCTGGATTTGAACTCAGGTCCTCCTGAATCTAAGGCCGGTGCTCTGTCCACTGCACCACCTAGCTGCCTCCGCAAAGTGCTTTTATAAATATTCTCTCGTTTGATCTTCATAAATGAGGGAGGGAGGTGCTGTTGTCCTTGTTCTACAGATAAGGCAGAGTGAGTTCTCTGGGGAAGTCAGCTAGCATCTATGTGAGCCCAGATTTGAATTTGGAGCTTCTGACCCCAAGTCCAGTGCTCTTTCTCCTCTGCCACCTTCAGCAGTCAGCTCTTGTTAGCCTCAGCTATAGGGCTGAGAATCCCTTGTGCCTGGGCCAGGCAACCTGACTGAGCACATCTTCTCCTGGGGAGGGGAGGGACCCCTCGATTTTGCCTTTCTTGGAGGTTGAGTGGAGTCTGGGGGAGCTCTCTGGCTAGGGAAGCCTGAGGACCGGACTTGGCATCCCCACTGTTCCCCCAGATAGGCATATGACCTTGGACCGGCAAGTCCCTTCACTTTACTTATCTGTCAAATGGGCTGGGGGTCGGGGGAGGAGGGTCTAAACTTTTTTGATTCTCCGTACCCAAACTGGCTGGGGAAATTGAGGCATTGCCACAGGTGGATTTTCATTTGTCCTGGGCTCCTGAGGGACTCCTTTGGGAGGGAGGGAAGGTGTGGTCTTGTGGGCTGCCTGGTTGGTTTTCAAAGTTGTTTCCAGATGTTTCTGTCAATCAGTTAGTCAGCATGCATTCATTAGGTACCCACCATGTGCCAGGCAGCGTGCTGGTCACTGGGGACACAGAGACAAAAAGCGGGGCAGTCCCTAAGTTCAGGGAGCTTGCATTCTCTGGGCGGGGAGAGGCTGAGTACACACATCACTCCCAAGCATTACTTAAGTGCCTGCTGTGTGCTCGGGACTATTCTAGGCACTGGAGATACAGACACAGAATGACTTTGTCCTAGATAAACACGGGTAACAAGGCTGCCGTTATGTCTGCTTGTGTCATTGCAGCCACAGCTGCTTGACCCTGCAAGGTTACTGATGGCCTTGTGAAGCAGACAGGGCCAATATCAACCCCCCCATTTTAAAGATGAGGAAATGCCATGTAAATGGTGCGACACTGGTTGTGGTCCAGGCTCAGGGATTGCCTTGCTGAGTGGCAGCCCCCCTGGCCATTGGGCAGTGTGGTCAGACCATGCAGAGCAAGTGCTGGACGTATGAGGCAGAGAGATGCTTCTGGAAGGCTCTGGCAGAGAGTGACTGGGCAACTTTGTGGTGCCCCCGGTGACCTGCATGCTTCCTGGCACAAAGTGGGATTATAAGAGATGCTTGTGGACCAAATGAGGGAAAGGGGTTTTCCAGCGGGAGAACCGTTCCACGGCTTTCTGCCTGGCCGGAGAGGCCTCCATGACCAGCCGCTGCTGACAGCCCAGGCCTCACTCTGAGAGCTGGGGGTGGGGCCTGTTGGTGTGTCTTTGCCCAGGGGCTGTGGAAGCCTTTGTCGGCCTGAGCTCAGGACCGTCCCATCCAAACCAGGCCTCGGGTGGTGGGAAGTTTGCCGAGCCCTCCTTTCTGGGCTCCTACGAGGCCACGGGTGTCCAGCTCTTTGTCCCAGCCGCATCCCTCTTTCTGGACCCTTTTCTTGAATGTGGTGCTCATAGGCCCTTAGGCGCCATGCCTCCCCTCATCCTTCCAAGGCCCTAGGTTTATTTAAGGTGGGATCTGCCCTAGCCCTTTTACCAGACTGTAATGATTCTCTTCCTTGCAGGCAAGCAGCTGCTGCCATTGTCCAGTGGAGGGCTCAGTGGCATGGGACAGCCAGCCTGGCAGTGCTCAGGGGAAGCCTCCAACCTGGTCCGCATGAGAAACCAGTCCCTGGGGCAGTCGGCTCCATCGTTGACAGCTGGCCTGGTGAGTGTGCCTGAGTGCTCTATTGTTGCCTCGGGACTTTGGGTTCGATGATTTTGTCCCCCTCTCTGGGGTGGTGGTGGGGGCACAGGGTCAGCCTCACATGCCCAGGGAGCTGGGCTCTCCTCTCACCACTCTAAAGAAGCCCAGCCTCTGTGTGTGGCCGTCCAGGGGTGAGGGGCTCAGAGATGGGCACTGAGCTGACGGCTCATTGCGAAAGGCCTCTCTACTCTCCACTCTGCCCTAGGCTCCTGCCTGTGGCAGCCCTGGCTGAGGTCAGCAGAGGTCAGCCCTCTGACCTGGGAGGCAGGGCAGAGTGGGAGGGAACTGGTCTCCTCTCCTCTTGCTTTTCTGCTGGCCCCACAGACTAACACTGGGCAGCATTGCAGAGTCCTGTCATGCTCAGGTTCTGTTCCTTTTTTAAAAAGCACCTACCTCCCAGGCTTTTTGGGGAAAGAATGAGATGTTTGTAAAGCATTTTGCAAACCTTAAAGCTCTCTCTAAATGCTAGTGATTTGCTGTAATTTCTCCACACCCTCTATCTTTCACTCAGTACTTAGGGCCCAGGACGATTTCTGGGCTGCTCTGGCTTGGCAAAGAGGCTTTCTGGCCTCACTGGGTAATCCCATGCCTTGCTCATCCCTGGGCTGCATGAAGGCTACCGTGTCTGTCCTCTCTGGCCTGCTGTGTCCGCCAGGCCCAGTGCACTGTGGATGCAGGACTGAGTGCCCTGGCCCCTGAATCACTGTGGCCTCTGCAGATCCAGTTGGGCTCTGGGACCCTGAGGCTGTGCTTAGCTACACTTGCTTCAGGAGAAAGATGCTGGAGTAAAAATCTTCCTCCTCAGCAAGACTTGGGTAACATAAGTCACCTTTCCTGTTGTCTTTCCTGGACAGGGCTGGACATGTGGAGGCCCACCCTGTTCTTTACTGGGGTTTTAAGGCAGCTTTTACAGTGATATGCCATTGCATCTTAATATCTTCTTCTTTTTTTTTTTTTGGTGAGGCAATAGGGATTAAGTGACTTGCCCAGAGTCACACAGCTAGCGAATGTTATGTGTCTGAGGCTGGATTTGAGCTCTGGTCCTCCTGACTCCAGGGCCAGTGCTCTATCCACTGTGCCACCTAGCTGCTCCAAGTGTCATTTTCTTACGAGCATGTCTCATTAGTTCCAGATGTTAGAGATTTATCCATTTTAGGAAAATCAGATATCAGGTGTGAAAATCCCTGAGCTGTGGATGGGGGAGAAACTTTCAGAATTAAGGCTGTCCTGACCTGCAGTCAGTCACTCAGTCAGCAGGTACTGGTGAAGTGCTCACTCTGCCAGGCACTGTGCTGGGCTGCCCTCAGGAACTTGCATGCCAAAGGGTGACATGTAAATAACTGGTACATACAAGACATGTGCAGAGTAGACAGGGAAGGCGCTTGGAGCCGCTGGCTGTGGGGTGTGAGGATGGGTGAGGTGGGAGTCTAGCCAGGAGCTGAGAGGCTGAGGGGAGAAGGGACCGTCAGGCAGAGGCACAGAGCTGGGAGGTGGAGCTGTGCTTGGGGGGAACCTTGGGCTGGGTATGTTACTGTAGACCATCTTTTTGGGCATGGCTTGGATTAGCTGCTGCTGACATCCCCTCCAACTTCAAATTCTGTGACTCCGTGAGTAGCAAGTGAGTATGAGTGGAGAGGCATCAGATAGAGAACCATTGCAAAGGCAGGGAGGGCACAGGTTGGATAGACTTGAAATGCCAGGCTGGGGAGTTTGCTTTATCTTATGCTGAAGAGGGTCTTCCTTGAGTTTGCCGAGTTGGTGAAGGGCTGACATGCTCAGATCTCTGCTTCAAGAAGATCCCTTTGGCGGCGATTTGGAGGCTGGGTTGGAGTGATGAAAGTCTGGAGGAGGGGCACCAACCAGGAGACAGGTGCAGGAGCAGTGTGAGGTGATGAGGGCCTGCTCCGTGGTGGGATGGTTGGAGTGGAGAGGAGGGATATCAAAATGGAAACGACCTAATTGGGAAGCTGATTTTAATATGGGAGTGAGGAAGACTGAGGAGTTGAGGAGGACGTTTCGTTGGGAGCCCTGGGGGACTGGGAGGATGGGAGTTCCCTCAACAGTAATAAGGAAGGTTGGGGAAGGGGGCAGGCAAGAGAATGATTCTGTTTTGGACATTTTGAATTGAAGGTGTTTATGGGCTATCCCGTTTGCAATGTCTAGTGGGCAATTGGAGATGCGAGACTGAAGCTTGGCTGAGAGCTGAGGACTGGTATGTGGAAGTGGGAGTCCTGCGCACAGAGATGGTCATTGGGCCCATGGAAAGGGACGAGATCAATGAAAGAGAAACAAGGATTTGGATTAAAGCAGAAACATTTCAAGTTCCCCAGCTTTGGGGTGTGTTAAAATGTGCTCGTTGTTAATTTCGAACGTGGACTCTTGGACGTCCAGAGTCACTGCTGAGTTCTTGGGTTGCTGGTTCGCAGATGTGTTGCTGGGGTTCTTTCTCAGCCTTTTTCCAGGATAACTTTCTCGGGCTTTCAAGGTTGGCTGCATCTACATGAAACAAGGGAGAATGAGTGAAGGCTGTCCCCGGGAGGGCCGAGGACCTCAGGAGATGGCACCCCTTCCCTGGGGCAGCCCCCACCAGGTTCATCCCCTGGTTTCTAACCTTGTGCTGTAGAGGCTCGGGCCAGCTTTTAAAAAGACATGGACAAAGATAGAAACAGGGAAGGGAGCAGGACGAATCTAAGAGCATGTCATGCCTCCTTGAAGAGGCAGCATCGTGGAGGTTTGGGCAGAGAGTGGGATGTGGAGTCAGGAAGACCTGGATTCATCTCTCAGCTCCACTGCTTAGCTCGGTGACTCCGGGCGCATCAGCAGCGCCGCCAACCCTGCCTGCCTCATTTTCCTCCTGTAGAATGAGGGCCTTGGGCTTGATGGTCTCTGTGGTCTCTTCCAGCTGCAAGTCTAGGGCCCTGTGAGTGGTGTCGGGGGGCTGAGTGGGTGTTCACATTGCTATTGGGGGGACAGGCCCATTGCTCCCATGGCTACATGGAGCTGGGCCCTCTACTTACTGAGGGAGGAGATCTCTGCCGGAGAAACATGAGAACCAGGTTGTTGAATAGTGAGGGGGTGCCCTGCACAAGTCTGGGGGTGAGGGGGAGAAGAGGACCTGTAGCCCCAATCTGCAGGAACTGGAGGTGCTCAGGGCCTGAAAGAACTGGTGAATGACCTTGTGGAGCCACTGCCTTCCAGGATGCCCAGGAGGATTTTCAGAGAATGGGACAGGAGTGATGGCTTCACATTTCGGCCCATTGAGCTGGTTTTCAATTCTTGTTTTTAAAGGAATGGCTCTCGAGGCCTTCTCCAGTGGTAGCACATTGGTGACCAGCTGTGGACAAGAACCCTCTCCTACCCCAGGGGACCTTCTCCAGCTCAGACCCGGCCCCACTGCCCCTGACCAGGCTCCCAGAGCTTCTCTGCCCTTCCTGGTGGTGAGGGGTCCCTCCCAGAACACAGATTACCACCTGTTGTGAAGCTAGATGTCAGAGGGGCATGGTCATGGCCTTTCTCAGTGGACGTCTCCTCATCCACTGATGCTTAGCTGGACTCACTCGTCAGCAGTTGGCTGCTCCTGCCCACCACACCCTCCCCATTGCAGTGATCGTAAGCCTCCAGCTTCTAATCTCCAAGCCCGTTCCCCATCTCCCCTCAGCTCTAGCCCTTGGCATCCTTGACTTCCGCAGCATTCCCAGCATCCTGCTGCAGATCTGCCTGCCCCTCCCACTGCTTATTCTCCTTCAGGCTTTTATGACCCTTCTCTCCTGGTTTGTGTTGGACTTGGAGTCAGGAAGAGTCCAATCCTACTTCTGCTGCTAGCTAGATGGAGGATCCTTTTCTCATCTATAAAATGGGGATAACAGCAACTACCTCTCAGGGTGGTTGTGAAGATCAATTGAGATAAGCCAATAGTAAACATTTTTAAGCACCTACTATGTGCCAGGCTAAGCTGCTACAGACACAGAGGAGAAAAAGAAAGACAGTTCCTGCCCTTGAGGAGCTTAGAACCAAGGGGATGAAGGCAACACACAAAGGAAGGCTGAAAAACCTGAGTGGGGAGGGGGAGATGGGAGGTGCCCAATGGGTGGAGAAGCTAAATAGGCCCAAATAGAGTAGCGGCAAGGAATGAGGGCAGGAGGGCCTGGCTCTCCTGTTTCCACTTCCATTTCCTGAGCCATTTTTGGTTCCGCCCTCCCGTCAGAGGGGCAGAGAGTGAGATGGGGCGTGAGGGCCAAGGCTGATGCTGAGTTTGCAGGAAGAGCCTGGGAGGATGGTGGCCGGAGGGATGAGGAGACAACGCGCATAAAGCACTTTGCAAACCTCCAAGTGCTTTCTGAAGACCATCTGTCTGACCACTCCTCAGCTCTCCAGGTCACACACTGACCACAAGGTGGTCCCGGGCTCTCTCCTGGGCCCCTTCTCTTTTCCTCTCTACTATCTCACTCAAGGATCTCATGGCTCCCATGAGTCCAATTATCATCTTTATGTTTGATGATTGCTAATGTTTTTTTAAAAGTATTTATTTATTTTTAGTTTTCAACATTCACTTTTACGAGATTTTGAGTTAAATTTTCTCCCACTCCTTTCCCTCCCTCCTCCCCAAGATGGCATGCAATCTGATATAGGCTGTACATGTACAATCATATTAAACATATTTCTACATTAGTCATGTTGTAATGAAGAATTAGAATCAAAGGGAAAAACTGTGAAAAAGAAAAAAAAAGGAAAAATAGTATGTTTCAGTCTGCATTCAGACTCCATAGTTCTTTCTCTGAGTGTGAATAGTATTTTCCATCATGAGTCTTTTGGAGTTGTCTTAGATCCGTTGCTGATAAGAGCTAAGTCTCTCAGAGTCAGTCATCGCACAGTGTGGCTGTTACTGTGTACGATGTTCTCCTGGTTCTGCTCCTTTCACTCAGCAGCAGTTCATGGTTATTCAGACTTGTGACCTATGTATC